ATAATATAATATGATATATTATAGTGCGAAGATGATTTAACCCTAAAGTGGAATTAAAGCACTTCAATGTCTTGGAGAAAAACATTCGATTAAAAATGTGTTTTGGCCACTCTAAAAACATTTTTTAACAATACACATGGATGTAAGTTATTCAGCCCAGTTTAAAGCAAAACAAAATAATGTGACGGTTAAGAACCAGATTTCTGCACAATAGAAAAGTGTCCTTTGCAAAAAAGTAGGTCAAACATTGTTGTAGCTGATGTCTCGATTTCATCTTCACTTCTTGCTTTTCCTGTTGCTGTCTTCTGACGAAATGACAGTTGGCTAGTTATTTGGCTAAAGATGGTTACTGTGATGTGACTGTATAAACCTCTGGTGTTGTAATAAATATTTATGTATAAGAGAAGAGTCCAGCTGGCAGCATGTTTTTTAAATAACCAAACGCATTACTGTATGTAAAACTGATGCATTTTCATTCTCAACAATGGCCAGGGGCTTTTACTGTGAAAAGAACTGAAAAATGAAACCAGGAAATCTCCAGTTTGAGCTTCAACCTGCCTGCTTGTTTGCTGCTTCTCGTCTGGTCTGGCCCGCTCGCTGACTCACAGTGAGGGGCAGAGCTCCCGCAAGGTTAAGTCCAGGCCAGAAGACAGTAACTCCAGTATCTATGAGGTCATTCCTCTGCCACAAGCTTTTAGAGGAGAAACAGCCTTTATGAGGTCCCGTCTTCATCACTAAAACACGCAACCCACACTAAATAACCACTGAATGACGCCTGCACACACAGACGGTTAGGAAAGCTGAGAGCAGTCAAATGACTGTCAGGAAGTGTCCAGCATGGTTACCTCCTCTTCAGCGGTTCAGATCTTTGATTCTCCCCAATAACATTTATGATCTGCAGCCACTAGTCCACCACACACTCATACGCATACAATTCCTTTTTGTTCTTCTGTCTGAACTGAAACCAGAGTAGGTCAAATATTATAAAAGATGTATGGCTCACTCAAGAATGTTAGACATGTTATTATTAAGTCAGATGGTCCATGTAGGGCCGACACCAGAATGAGGAACACAAGCTGTGCTCAGGCTCACATGAAACAATTTATATTCCACATACAATATTGAACATTGAAAGCCAATGAGTCAGCTACCGGCCATTATAAAGAGAGTATATCACATGACGAGACCGCCAGTGTAGAGAATTAATTTTTATTTGAGGTAATGTCAAATGTTTTCTCCTCAGCCTCATTGTGCTTGCTTCCTCTTTACCGATGCAATTGATTAAGACAGTCGTAAAAGCAGCAGGACAGAAAATCCGCAGATCACCAGTTTTATGTGGTTCTCTAATATTAAGAGTGTACGAAAAATATTCCATTAGGTCATTCAAACAGCTGCACCACTGGACAGCAGCACAGAGCCGACTCTGGGTCCATCATACATTTTATTTGACTGATCATCCAGGCATAATTTATCCAGCACATTTCTCCAACAATATGCAACGTAATACCGATGTTGGAATAGAAAAGTGTTGGAAGAATTATTCAGATTATAGTCCCCTCAGAGTAAACATCCTGCATACGAACTCATACTTACGTCAGTGCAGAAGTATCAACAGAAACATTTAAGAAGTCATTCTGGAAAAAAATGTCTAATGTCTGTGATATTTTTACATGATACGATTGCTGATGCTGATGCAACCATGTGTAAGCAGCATTTCACTGTTGGTCAAGGTGAAGCTATTTAACCACTTCACGTTCCTTTAGAAAGTTGATTCACGTGGTTCCCAACATAGGGTTCGCACCTCCCACAAAGGGTCACAAGATAGATTCAGAGATCCAGAGGGGTCCAGACATCATTAAAAACAAAGCTCTGCTTTACAAATCTGTATTCAGTTTATTTTCTTTGTAAAATAATGAACAAATTGACCTCTTTGGGCCTCAAACTGTTATTTAAATGAAACCATGTGAGAAGTTTAGATGGGAAATCTCTCTCTGATGGAATTGCTGTACACTGGATGGAGATCTAAAGGTCTGGAACCACTGGTGTAATCTTTAGAAATAAATTGTATTTTATAAGCTTATGATCTATAACTATAGCTTTAGCATACATGTAGCTGAGGTAATGTAGCATAAAACAGAAATACCGTACTTAATAATGTACGACAGCAGCTGTGTGTGCAACGAAAACGACAAATGTGTGATCTGATTTTGAGTTTAATGTGGAACTCTTTGAACTGTGTGTGTGTTTCCAGGTCTGCCGGGAGAGAAGGGAGAGAGGGGGAATCCAGGGGTTGGGAGTCAGGGACCTCGAGGACCACCCGGACCTCCAGGTAAAATACAGACAGACGTATCCACAGTCCTGAGGGGTGCTTGATAAGCTAAACTAACTGAATCCACTCTCTCCAGTCTCAGTGCTCAAATAACATTTGGTGCTGTAGCTCCTTAAAAATAAGATTAATATTATAATAGCATAATTTTGCACCTGAACATTTGTTTTTGGTGTTTTCTGACTGTGACCAGGCTGGAGCAAGCTATGTGGAATGTTTTCCATTGTGTTTTTTCTGAACAAATCTAAAAATGTTTCAAATATTGAAACAATAGAATTGCACAGAGACTTAATGTGTTTTGAATTTGCTTGTTAAATCTCTGTCTGGGAAAAGCAAGCAGACGGTTTGGACCGCGAATATAATTCTCTGTATTGATTTCCCTGTGCGCTGTGTGGAGTTTGAGGTTTGTGTTATGAAAATATGTCAGTGCTGGGATTTTCTGTTTACTGTTGTGCGATCAATACTCACAGAGCAAGCTGACAAAACTCCCTGGAAACTTTTTTCGATGATCAGATAAGTGTTATAAAAAAAATCTGAAAACTTCAATACATGCAAAAGGAAATCTATTAGTGAGAGAAAAGTATAGGGGAGAGCTCTCTGTCTCCATCCGCGCTGCTTTTCTGGAATATTTGTGGGATGATAATTTTAGCACTTGGCAAATGGCACTCTCCTCAAAATATTGATTTCATATTTTTGCTGACTGCTGAAGTGAGTCGTGATGGAGCAGTTTCTCTTGTGCAAACAGAAAAAAGAAGCCTCTGGCTGAATTTCAGCTAAGAACTGTGTTATTCCTGCTCCTGTCCTCAGGACATTCACCATCATCTCCCTTATCCAGACATGACAATCATGTCATTTCTGCCATGTTGTCACAGCAGAAAGAGGGATTAAGAGACTGCGGAGGTGATAGTACAGTGACGCATATCCCTCGATGGCACATTTTCAGTTTATTTTCCTCCCTCTTTCTTCCTTTATCCCCTCTCACCAGGTGTCACACTGCTGGAGTCCTTTCATCTGATGTTTATTGATGACTGACTTCATTTATCTTTGTACTTTCGCTCCGTCCTCAGGTCTACCCGGTGAAGGAAGGACAGGCAGTCAGGGCCCCCCTGGTCGGCCTGGTAACCAGGGAACACCAGGGAGGTCGGGGAATCCAGGAACCACGGGACCGCCTGGCCCACCGGGATACTGTGACCAGAACTCCTGTATGGGGTACAACGTTGGAGGTAAACATCATTCAGCTGCTACTTCAACACTTAATTTTAACACCCTTATTTAGCATTTATAAATCAGTATGTAAACACTTATAGTGAATACAGGAGGGATTTGCCTTGAGTAAAAATGTGTGTAAGAAATGTTGAATGATGCTAGCAGGCTATCATGATTTTTTCCAAAAACATAAACTAAAAGTTTGAAAAAGAAGTACAAGATACAGATTTTTGATAAGAAGAAAAAAAAACAAGTGACTCATCAAGCAACTACATTATATGTCAAATTCAAAACTTGAAGAACCCATCTTGCTCTTTAGTTAACTGTCAATATAGCATGTCAATATGAAAAACTCAAAAGTTTAAAGCAAATGCAGCTGGTGTTTTTCATTGGCACAACAAAAAATTAAAAACATCTTCAGGACAATCTTTATAAGGTTTGTTTCTCTTCCGAAAGACAGCATGACAGAGGAAGTTCAGGAGCCACTGCTTTAGACAAATGAACACAAAGGCACACATGTTCACTGTAGCTCAGGCTCTGGCAAGTGAAACAGAAATAACATTTTGACTGGCATTTTTTCCCAAATGTAGTCAAAACACAGAATATCCAGACTTTACAAAAACATTCTCTGCTGTTTATTTAGACCTTATTTCTCCGTATTTGTTTGAATCAGAGCAATAACTGAATTCTGTCATTTTACACTATCAAAGGACTTGTTCAGAGCAACCACCAGCCTTACTACCAAATAATTCATTCAGACATTTGTTTTATTTTTAATACTTGCAAATTTACTGACACAGAACAGCTTAAACAATGTAACCCTGCCCAGTCTTTCCACCTTATAAACCATCTTTTATATGTATAAAAGATTGAAATATTGTTTTTACAGTGACAGGCGGCTCTGAGATAGTTATTGTTCTCATAAAGCTCTCAGAGAATTGGAGAGTAATCTGGCTTTTATGGTTGTTCCACTGTGAAGTTTATACATTCATGTCCACACAGATGGATTAAGAAGTTAACTGTCACTGACCGAAGCTATTTGTCTGTATTGAGATCTCATAAAATATGCTGTTACACACACACACACAC